GAAAATAAGCTGTACATATGGTACAAATGAAAAAAGGTATGGCTTTAACAAAAGTTATTTCAAAATAATTTAGAAAAAAAGTCCCCTTCGTAATTTTTATGTATGTAATAATGTATTATAACGATAATAAAGCTAAAGCTACTCCTTCATCTGAAGTAAAAGAGAAGAAAACATAACGCTGTTACAATGGCTGAATAACAAAATCGGTCAGCGAGAAGTCAACCTGACGCCTCGTTTTAATCGACAAGAAAAAGAAAGCAAAATGAGCGCATTCGTGGTCATCCATTACAGAAATCTACTCTTTTGGGCGCCAATTTCTAAACGACTAAAGGGCAAACAGGATCAACAGTTAAAAGAACCCTTCTGCACTTTGTAAAGAAAACCCTATTGCAAAAGCTGATGATACCAATTATCTAAGAACTACATGAAAAGACAACAAGATGGAAAGCAAAGAAGAAATTCTTAACCGAGCGTTAGCCACGCAGGCATAAATAAAGCGAGAAAACGAGAACGTCTGTTACTAAGCCACTAGGCATTTTACACGGTCCATTACATTCTAAAACTCTGCAGATCAACTCTACTAAGTAAACTTGAACAGTAACTACATCTACACAGACCTACATGACTAGACAAGGGGTGGTTCCACCCACCCTCCCAACCCCCGCAATAAGAAGTGGCTTGACCCACCCTCCCACAGAAAGAGGTGGCTACCCGTCTAGTCACATGGACCGACTAACAGGGCTAGACGGAGAACTACTGCTAATCTGACTACGGATGTTATCGCGCACGCTCCGGACACACGACAGGATATGGAGCCTAGTGTGGGTCATGGTACCCGCGTCCACACTCAAGGAACGTACGGCTCTCTTCTGAGGCGCGCCAGAGGAGCGTGGCAATTCAGGAGCATGATTGTCCGTGTAAGGACTGTCATTTGAGGAGTCGGACACTGGTGTTCCCTCTGGCGTTTGAGAAACTATTTCATCTGCAATGAAGAACAAAGCAAGTTAAGGGACACTATTACGGCAATTTTAATACATTTTTGTTAAAAACAAAAAAAGTAGAGGTAAAGTCTGCATACGAGCCAAATGGCTCATCATGCCAGTGCTTATCCCGATTTCAGTAGCATGAAGCGACTAGGAGTATTTTTACTCCCCTCTGGATGGGACGCTAGTCCATCGCAGGGTTACCCCCAACATTAGGTTCGCCGGTACCCATTTACACACCTGGGTGGAGAGAGGCACTATGAGAGCAAATTGCCTTGACCAAGAACACAACACAATGTCCCCGGCCAGGTCTCGAACCCGGACCGCTCGATCCGGAGGCCACCGCGCCTCCCTCTACTTTTTCTGTTTAATCACGTCCTAAAATTATGACCGAGTACCTTCGCTCGTACGATAAATGCTCCTAGAACACCAAACTGAAAATATTAGGCGAATTGTTGACGGAAGCGAAAATCGCAATTAGTTTTGAGCGACTTTTCAAGACAAAACAACAAAATTTGAAAAAGTCTGCCACACTCCAGACAGATCAAAAGAGTAACGGTCAAATTATCAGACG